TGCTTTCAAAGGGTACACATTTCATTTTTGCCAGAAGTCTGAGTTTTATGGCAACAGCAGTGACTTCTAAAACCTTTCTAGTTATGTGGTGATGTAATTTGGCTCAGTAGTTGTCACATTTTCCTGTCTAAGCAAAAAAAAGTCTTGATGAATGAGAGTAGAATTAGTGGAAGTAAAACTGCCTGATAACTCAGTTGTTTCCATAAGTTATTCATGCATGAATACAAAACACATCAGAATTTCGAAGAAGTGACACAGGATTTGGGGAGATGAATCACAAATGGAGAGAAATAGGCAGCCAAGGGATAGCAGTGTTAAGCAGAGACAAACTATAAGCATATTGCCGTAAATCCGATAACAACTAGTATAGCCAGAGAGTATATCTAAATTACTAAAAATCAATTAGAAGCTGTGTAAAGGGGAGGTGAGGCAAGGAACTGCTTTCTGTGGGAGAATGAAGCAGCAGGAGGGGTTTGTGTGAATGAATCACAACCAAATGTTGTATATTTGCTGTGAATATACAGTACTCCTTTCTCCTCCCTCCTCTCTTGTTGTTTTGTTTTTTATTTTTAGTAAGGAACTTAATGTTGGGACATTAAAGACTTGGAGAAACTTGTTCATGCATCAGATTTAAAGATTTTAAGTAGCTAAGAAGTCAGTGAAGACTTTAGTAAGAGTTATCTCTAGTTCATGCACAGGTTCTAGTTTATGCATCCTTCGATCAAACTGTAGCTAATGTTATAGAAATGCAGTCAAGGAAGGGACTGAACACTGACTAATCCCTGGTTACAAATATGTAATATAGCTATTTACATCACATTGCTAACTTTGAGTATCAGTAAGTTTTACTTATTTGTGACAAAATTTCTTTTTTGTTGCAGGTATGATCCTAATGTGAAAAGGAGAAGATAAATTGTGACCTGAATTTGCAGTGATTCTCTATCAAAAATCTGCTTTCTGTTCCTTAAGTTTGCTGGTTACAGGGTGTAATACATACCTATGTATGACCACTTGAGCTATCGATTACTGTAAGACTTGGTTTTAAGTCTTGCCTTTATTAAAGAAAAAAAGAGTTTTTTCCGCTTCTTTGTACTTACAGAATGTACATTTTCAAGACCTTAACATTATTTGCTTCAGAGTAATGCTCAGTGAAATACCATAGACATTTTAAGCTGTTTATTGCTAATATTTGCTTATCAGTACTATTCTGGGAAAAAAAGGAAGTTAGCCAGCATCAGGCTTTTTTCTTTACAAAAAGGCTTTGTTAATTAGATTTTTTTTTTTTTTTATTGTCAATTTTGTCTCTGTGGAGCTTTTTGAAGACCAAACTTTACATTTCTATCTGAGTAAACAAGAAGTTTTTAATACTGATAAGGTCAAGCTTCTTCCTATTTTTGAAGTTGGTGACATCAAATTATTTTTAGCCAGCCACCACTTTTGTGTGATGGCAGATTTGAAAGAAATGTTTAAATTCTAAAATGCAGTGATTTTTGCCCTATTATGTCTTCAAATCTTCAATATTTGTTTGAACAGCCTACAGTTACACCTAGAAACACTCTTATAAATTCAGAAAAAGATAGTAAAAAATTTTGTAACAGCACCAAGCATTTTAATTTTGGTTTCTTTGGAAGGGAGAGAGATGCAAGTGCAGTTTCTTTCTCTGAATATTTCCTTTCCTTTGCAAATAGAAGAGAGCTGTGTTTGACAGTTTAAGAACTAACAATGTATATGGAAAGCCCAAAAGCTGCATGATGAGAACCATCAGATCACGAGAGTCTGTGTACTTCCCTGAAGTGAGAAATAACCTTGTACATTCCTCAGAAAATTATGATGATGTCTCATTGTGTAATTGGTTTTATTTGTAATGAGACTCAAGTTGAAGGGGGAAGAAAACTGAATTTGATAGTTTCCAGGAGTTAAGTGTGTGTGTGGGAACCCCACCCCCCAAAATAAGACTTAATAAATTAAAAAAAAAAAAAAAAAAACCACCAAAACACAAGCAAAACAAACTGGTTAGAGGGTAAAGGGAGTTTCTCTGGAAAATAAAAGATAAAAACTTGAAAGCTCTGGCCTAGTGGCAAAGAACCCAAATTAATGCTCTTGCTATTGCAAATCATATCCGTTATTTGGTTGTGAAGATTCAGGCCAAGAGAAATCAATTAGCTTTTCTCTGGAAAGGAGAAAAGGAAGTTAAGTGAGCTACTTCAGCACAATTTCATGGGTATTGTCTTAAGAATTGGGAATCTATTGAGAGAGACATGAATGCAGCTGATACCTGATCACGATAGCCTTCTCTGTGGTTCGTTATATAGAGCAAATAATATTGTTACTGTTCCAGGTGATCTTGGAGCTGAAAAAAAAAAACAAAAACACACATTTTTTTTCTCTTGCTTAAACGTATTTTCATTTGCAGCTTTAAATCAATTTGTTTGAATGTTCATTTGTTAAAAGCTACTTCCAGGCCAGAGAAAATCTTAGAGCTATTGCACTCCAATTTGAGATTTTAGATTTTGACCTGCTTCTTCCTCTCATGCGTTTACTTTTTGCAATCACTGTGTAAAAATCTGCCCTTCAAAATAATTCCATCATCTATATCAACAGTGAAACTTATGAAACAGCTACCCATTCGTGTTTTAGGAGAGCTCACTTTAGTGGTCTGAGAATTTGGAATTTGAGGGATTCCCCTGGAAGTACAGTGAGAAAAGCCTTTCAGACTTTCTGCTCAGTTGTATGAAGCTGTTACATAGAGATGAAGATGGACAGTAGTGCCGTCGCATCCTGTTTCAAGAGGTGGCATGGTAGGACCTCCTTCCTCGTGTGAGGAAGTAATCTGGTTGATGTAATTGACTTTAAGTACTCATTAACAAAACTCTTTCCACTGGTGAGAGCTCAGACCACGCAAGCAAGATGAGCTGAGCTGCTTAAAGCCACTCTGTTGTGTATCAGATTTGAAGAACAGCATCGTCAGACCTGTGTGTATCAAGATAGTAGATGTGTTGAAATTAGTGTGGTTGCATGCTCTCAGAAAATATTTGGTCTTCAAAAACCAGTGTTTCCTTAGATCTGTCTTGGCATCTTCTTGATCGCTTGGTCAGGGATGTTCAGAATAGACAAGAGTGCAAGACCAATAGCTCTGAGTTCAGCAATAGCTGTGAGCGTGTTTTGGCGTTGTATCAGGGCACATCAAATCTTGTCCACCACATACCTTTAAAAAGACTGTTAGTCAGCTGTTGAAATCCTTGCTGGAAGAGATGTACCGACTGCTGTTTGTTGCACCCTCAGGTGAGTTTTTTTACAATCACAGTGAGAACCTCTAGGTTTTCTTGTTAAAGACCCACCAGTTCAACAGGGCAGCTCTTGTAAACTGCTGGGGGTGACCTTTTTGATTGCTGTTACTAAATTCAAGCAAATGGCTTGGCAGAGTATCAATGGACAAGATCCTTCAGAAAGGTTGTGTTTACAGTTGGAAAAAAAACAACTTGCCATTTCACTGTAGAATTTCTACAAAGATATGAGTAAATGCTAAGTCCTTTCCTGTTCAGACTGCAGTCTGCTAGGGTTCAAGCAACCCTGGTGGCACATCTGACATCACACTTCTGTTCACATTAGATGACTTTACAGCTCTTCAAATCCAGTTCCTCAGACAGTTGAATTTAGCAGCTTTGATACTACATTTTTTAGTCATTTACTGTCCTAGGACTGATAGACTCCCCTACCATGTGGCTGAGGGAGCACTCACAGACAAACACCTGGAGATTACTTTGTAGATCTTGTTTGAGATGTCTTTTCTGTATCAACACTTCCAACATCATCTTCAGGTTTCTTTGCAGTCTTTCACAGGCAGCTCTCCGTGCTCTCGAGGTGAGGGCATTGTGGGGATTTCCACAGTAGAGTCAAGAGAAAAAACAGAGCTAGGATCAGCAGTTGACTAAAGATACACCCAGTGCATGTTCTGTTTTGGGTCCAACTTGGGTGTGCCTAATAGGCAATAGTTTTCTTCTGATTCAGTTGCATCTGCTGTGTGGTTGATGAGAAGCCTGTACCCTTTTGTTATTTCAACATGAACTTATGCTTGCATTGAAAAAAGCTTAGACATCTAAACCTCTACCCCTTAGCCATGGCTTGAATTGTAATCCCAAATTCATGTGATAAATCCTATTTATGATACTGATGCTTTCCTTCTATTTGAGCCTAATTTTGTCAGGATTTTTGGCTCCAGACATTAGTGGATGTACACTTGTTGGCTTTCCGGTTTGGGCCTTCTCTTACTGAAGTTTCTGAGGTAGATGATGAAGGATGTGATTATGTGATCCAAGTCTTGGGAGCCTGAACATGTAATAAATTACATCAGTATTTGCCTTACCCCTAGAATTATTACATTAACTTGACCTGATATTTCCTTTGTGTTTTATAAAACACACAGTGGTAGGCTAACCCCAGTAGGCAGCTAAGCCCCCTGCAGCTGCTTACTTGCTTTCCTTCTTCCCCCCCCTCCCTACCCCAGCAGCATGGGGGAAGAGAACCAGGGTAAAAGTGGGAAAACGGGTTGAAATAAAGACCGTTTTATAGGTAAAGCAAAAGCTGTGAGCACAAGCAAGGGCAGTTAACTTTGCGTTCTGCAGTTCAGAACTTTTGCTGCATGCTCCATTTCTGTTCTGTGGGGCTCGTGTCCTGTGGTTTCAGCATTCAGTTCACCAGTTTTCTGACAGAACGTGTGTGATGTTGATAATCTTCAAAAGGTTAAAACAAGTTCACTAACTCAGATGTGTCATCTAAGGCTTCTCTGATCTACCTCAAACCACAGTCTGCAAGCATATCCTGCCTTTTGACAACATAATGCTCTTCACCTAAAAGTACATCTAAGCAGAAACTTATCTTCAGATCTCATTTCTTGCCTGTTTCTGTGTAACACAAAGTTTGAAGGTTTGCTGGGATTGCTTTTTTATACAGTGCATTATCTTTGTTCACCATGCTCAGAGGAAGGAGATGCACACAGTACATAAACTAAATATACGTTTTATTAGCAAGGCTTTTAAAATACAGTCTTGTGTTCAGCACCTTAGCTGAACACAGTTTAAAGCAGATTGAATTACTCCATGCACCACTAAAATAGAGGCTGGGTGCTGTATCCCTGGAGGAACAAAATGCTTAATTTTCAGTTTAATTCACACCAGTTTCAGCTGACTTCCCACCTTTCCTACATCAGGTGGGAAAGCCACTGCCTTTTTTGGCCAGACTACCATGATACTATCTCGCCTGAAGTTTGCTTTCTATTTCTGGCCTTTCACACCTGTGAGTCTGCGCCTTTTTCTCCTACCCTTACATCCTATCTTCCCCCAGAATGGGGGGCTGGTGCAGCAGGGCTGGCCCCTGCTGTATCACTGCACCAGTTCCTATGTGCTGGAAGTGTGCTTGCAGTCAGCTTCGGTTTCCTCCATCCACCGACCTCCCCATTGACTTCCTCTGGAGCACTAAGCCGCTGTCATTACCTCCATTCCTGATGTGTCCAAGAGGCTCTAGCCCACATGTTTACCACCAAACTTCAGTCTATAACTGTTGCTGGTCTCTGCTGTAGACCTACCTCCAATCCCCTCCCGGCTCTCCTACTACCAGTCCATTTTGTATAGGTCACTTCTCAGACCTATTCTTACCCTGTCTTCCCCCCCAAACTAGCTCTTCTCTTCCTCTGTTTTCATTTCTTGAATCTATCTTCAGTCACATTTGGCCACATCTGGTGTTTGATTCACAAACTCCAATTGTGTTCTGGTATCTCCTTAGAACTCAGGCCAACCATGGCGAAACCTGGACTGTCTACCTCACCGTTATTCCTCACTCTTCCAATGTTTTGATAAACACCATCACCACATTCCAGTGAGATAATTTAGTTATAAAAATGCTAGACAAAATCAGATTTCCCTAACTAGCAACTTTCCCTGCCACTTGCTTAGCGCTCTGCCCCGGCTTTGACTATCAGAATCTCAAGCACTGGCTACAGCACTTGTCTACACGCAAACCAACACCACTTCCTCTTGCTGAGCACTACAGCGCTCTGACTTCCCCGTCCTCCCCAGTTTATTTTCCTTTAAGTTCCCCACTTCTCCAAACCAAAATAATCGGCTTCTAGGTGAAACTGGTTTTAATATTACTCCTTTAGCCGTCAGTCCATCATCAGTTTTCACACACGAAGATAAAACAAGCTTAGCATGCAAACCTCAGGTAGGTTTTTCATCTAACCAAAGCTGAGGTTTTGCTCACAAGTTGCTTGCAGCTCAGGAGGAGAATATATTTCAGCTCAGAGCAGATATTCTGTACACATTTACATTGCTCATCTAAATAAAAAGGCTAAGACCCAAGCATACTCCAGCAAAAGCTGAAAACCAAGGCATGACACACAGAAATGACATTTACACAGTATCTCCAAATCTGGGTATATCATGGGTGTGGACAAACATATAGTTAGATTAATAGAAGCCTTTATCTCATTCAGAACTGGAATTCCACAAACAGCATACCAGACCTATCAGAGAAACAGGCAAGATCAGACTTTCCAAATTGTGCCAGCTAGAGGGAAGGCAGGAGGATCAGTTCTCAAACAGCAGTAACTCCGTGTTCACATAGAAGCTGGTCCTATAATCCAAACTGATGAAAAATTGACTATTTCACTCTCCTCAGAGCATCCCCTGGAACTGTATCAAATCTCTGATCACCTTGTCTCTAGCTTTGTATTTGTGGACAACTATTTTTTATACACCTAGATAAAAAAAAGAACCTAAAAATGCCAGAATTCTGTAATACTTTGTGAATATGTAACAAACCTAGTCATTCATTTTCTTTATGCTGGCATGCAAGTCTACAGAGGTTGTCCAGGAACATGAAGCTGAATTTTAGTTTACTGAAGCATCCACTGTAGGCAGCGCAGGCTGATACTTTGCCAGTGATCTCAGAATAAAGAGATGGAGGAGGAAAGTGCAAATTAGATTAACATAGTCTCCAGAACCAGTAGTTTCAAAAGGATAGGAAAGCTAAGAATAGGAAGTATATTTTTTTCCCAGTTTTGATGACTACTGATGCCCACTATGTTTTAAGAGTTGGCTTAATATGCCCTGTAAGTACAAAAGTATCATTGCTAGAAAGTCAGCTAGCACGCAGACAGGTGTAATGTGAACTCAAGTTCTGAGTTTGCTTGAGCTGACATGTTCTAGTGTCTGCAAAGAGAAAACCATCATTAAAACAGTGCTTAGCCTCACTACAATTACTAAATTACACTATAAATGCTTTTTTCCCCATAATTCATGTTCCTTACCCCAAATTCACCCTTGACCTCACAATTCCTTGTGTAATTCAGACTTCAAGAATTGGCTAAACTGAAACACCATCAGTGTACCACATTCCCCAAAATGTGGTCTTTTTCAGAAAATGTTTATAATTCAATATCCTCACCTCAGATTTGTACCCGTAATGTCACCAAAGCCTTCCTTTCTCTGTCAAAGAATGTTTCAATTTCCATTGTTCCTGCTAAATAGAATTAGGTATTATGGTTATTTGAAACAAAGCATGACTTTTCCTTCAGGCTGGGCAAGCAGAAATGGGGCAAGTAAATGTCCAAAAAGCTCTCACATCAGCTGAGGTACTGTGCTCCCACCTTGCTCTCACCTCAAAAAATAATCCAAAAGGATGACAGAACGTTGTTAATGTAAGGTTCTAAAATATTATCTACACTAAAATGTAGCAGTATAAATCTTCGAGTGTTTTTTTGTTCCGTAACTTCTTCCAAATGAAATCATTACTATATGGACAATAGGAAAATCGAATAATCAGCTGCCTTTAAGGCACACATAGGCTACCTCTTGCTGTTTAGAAATGTTTGGGAGTTAGCACTGTTACAGCACAGATTCTTCTGTTACATGAAAATACCTGCTTGCTTTCTCAAAATTAGAAAATATGGTACCAGAACAACCAAGGCTCATTTCTAGGCACACCATCCAACTGATCTAGTCCTACAACTTCTGGAGTTGCTTCTATTTCATACATATCTGTTGCACTTTGGTGTAACTTCAGTTAACAGCCAATTAAATATATCTGGTAACATCTTAGAGTAATAGCTCCAGCACAGATCTCTAAAGTTACAGTATGAACATCTTGACAGAAGAGGATGGGAGGCCACCAGCCTATCAATGCTTCATGGATTCACTTCAGCACCTGTAGGTTTGCAGTTCATATTGCTCAGATTCTTTGCTGCGTTCCCCCCATCATTCCTCACTGGTCATCACTTGTTATCAGTGGGGACTCACTAGAAGTTTGCAAATTTTACACCCCTTCTTTCTCTCTCAAGAGCAGTTTGCCCCAAAATGGCCTTTTCTTCCTTTCAACTGGACATGCAGGTCAGGCCTGCCTCAAAGTTTGGATCTTAATTTCCTCTAGCTTTGAATAAGTACTCTGGATTTTGGGTTCTAGCCTTCTTTTCACAGTTCTCGAGCTGTCAGAGAAAGAAGATACAGCCACCTCCTTCTATAAAATTAGTATTTTTCATTATGCAACCATCACTTATGAAATTAATCATTAAAAAAAAGGTGCCTACACTCACCAGGCTGGAAGGAAAATACAGTATACTCCAACAACTCTCTAAGTGTTGAGGACTAGAGACCTACAGCTATGGGATTCACGTTGGTGTCACTTACTCAATGCACAGGCACTGCTTCTGGGAGCTATACTTTTTCCATGCACTCATGGGCAAGCCCATGCTGCTAGCCCAAGGCAATGCATTTTCCTGAGAGAGAATACAGTGTTATTGTCACCACTCTCTGGATTACTCGCAGAAAGAATTTCTACATTTTCTCACCAGGGTAAAACTTAGCCTTACTCTTTTGTGGAAAATCTTCTAAGCAGAAGTCAATCATCTACTGGAAACCAAAAGAAAAGCTGTGCCGTTTCCTACTGCCCCATCAGGTACCTTCATTAACAAGCACGCACTGCTAAACAGTACCACGTGTGAGGCAGACTGCTAGGGAAATCTACTATGAAAAATCTTAATCCCAGTTCAACAGCTGGATACTACTGAAACTCTTAGCAGTAATTTAGCTGGGAGCCACATCCAGCATTAAGAACCAAAACCAAATGTAAGAGACACTTTCCCATTAGCCTATTATAAAATACACAGTATGGATTAACATACCTTTACAAATTCTATAAATCCAAATTAAATTTCTTTAGTTAAAAATTATATTCTTCCTGTCTGCATTTGAGTAATTAAGCTTAAGTAGTAAGCATCCTTTTTAAATCCATGATGTTTAAAAGCTTATCTATCTGACTGAAAGAAGAGCCAAAAGAAGCAAAGTCTCCCTTCTGGGAATTATTATAACATACAGGAAATTCAAATGGTATTTTTTTTTTAAATCTGAGAAACGAAGTATTTTCCCAAAAGGCAACTGTTCAATGACAACGTCTAATCCAGACTAAATGCAGTATGACACAGTGCTTTAGGTAAAATTATCCCAAGGCAAAGCTTGAATTTTTACATCTCTTATTCTCTCAAAATAGCAAAGAGTAGAGAAACGAACTTCTCTCAAAATCCAAAACCCAAAAGCGAGGAAGTGCTGCTACAACTTTAAACCTATCAACTCCTAGAAGAAACTCATGATTTTTTAGTAAAGCTTTGGTTGAAAAAAGTATTTTTATACTGACTCAATAAATACGACCACTGCGAAAATTTCTCTGCCCAACTAAGGGGTCTCGCATGAGATGTTTTTAATCTCCAAAATACTGGCACGATTAAAAAAAAAAAAAAAAAAAAAAAAAAAAAGGCAGTTAAACCTCAAAAGGTGCTGCAATACTGCAGTGAAAGACACCTGTGCAAGAACAGGACAAAAATCTCTGCTACAAATTTGTCACTGCAACACACATAGCTTGTAAGTAGCTGCAGCAGCTGAGACTAGAGATTTGGCTGTTTGAAGCTTTTTTCTCCTTTTTGCAAAATAACTGTTTAAGTGAATTGCTTCCTTTGTTTTGCTGGCATTTTAAATATTTAACGTGACAAATGAAAAAGCAGTAACATGCCATGATATGTTGCATTTGGACATCTATATTGACACAAAACTGAAGGAATTTAATCACAGCGCAGATGTATTCCCAATATATTAACTACAATAAAGTTCTATAATCAAGTATTTAGCACTTCTAACACTGATTTTCAGTTAAAATTATTAGGTAACACAGGTTTAGGATAGTTTTATATATACACGCAGTTTCTGCCAAAGAAGGCAAATTACAGAATCTTAATTCAATTATGAAGAAAATAAGCCTAGAATTTAGCGTAATTTAAACCAGCTCAAATATCAGTATAAAAATGTATCTTAACTAGTATTGACAGTGCATGGTTAAATCCAACCGTGTAGGCAATGCAGAAATTAATATAAATGTTGCTTCATTGGTGTTTATTTTTATGCTATTAAATTTGCTCTATGCTAAAATTTATTATTAGTAGTGGCATCATTTCATAAATTACTTTGGACTTCCATTGAAAATACACTCATTTTAATCCTTGCATACTCTACCCTTTAAACTTCTGTGTCCAAAGTCTGAGTAACTTACTCAGCTGCATAAAGGCCTGCAGTAGCCACAGAACCTCGTAATTCAGTAGGCACAGAGAACACGCATTTATTGCATATAGGTAACTACAATTCATGAAAGTTAGACAGCTGGGCAACCAGCAAGCACTAGCAGTTTCACAAAGTCTAAGCCTAATTTCCTTTTTAAAATCCGTTCAAGTTCTAATATGGAGATTTTAATCATGCAAATACAATACCTTAAACTAACACAACATTCTTCAACACAACAAAGTCCAAAACAAAAAATTAAATTAAATTAAATAACATCTATTCCATCACATTGGACCTGAATTAAAATGTTTGGTAATAAATCAGTTAAAACCAAGCACTTCTGACTATTGAGAGTTCTGGAAAATAGATTAGGTTTTCTAACTAGCTTTTGCTTACCTCACTATGGTGAATAACCCATGAGTGTGTTTAGGTAAACTAGCTACTCTAAAACCCAGAAAAGGAAACCCAGGTCTTACATTATGGAGTAGAAAGGTGAAGCTTCAATTCAGAGGTAGGTACAAGTTAAGTCTTTGTCTTTAATAACAAGCTTTAAGATTTACATGAACTACGGCATGTTTGTTTTAAGTTTGGTTTGTTTATAATTTAGCTGGCTGTGACATATAACCCTTTTTCAAGTTTCAAAATCTGTAGGCTAAAATAGTATTAGTGTTATGTGCTGCTCTAGAAAAAAAAAAAGATAAATAACCAATACTTGGTCAAATGGGAGACGAGAGTATCTATCACCCACCTTCATCAGTCAAGTGATCCCATTCTGTCTTCCTGAGCTAGGAAGCAAAAAAACCTCAAGTTTTCTCTGTACCTAATGTTTCAGTAGTACACTAGATATTCATTATATTGACACTGTAATAAGAGCACTTACATCAGTACTTTATTGTTTATGTTACTGAGTATTCTCATAAATGTACATATCACTGTAGGGGAACATCTCATGTTAGTCTTTCTGCACTCACCCAACTCGAGGCACAGTGTAAAAAAACATTAATGGACTGTGTCAAATCATGTGTTAAAGATTAAATGAGAATGCTTATTCTTTTATTCCAATTATCAAATAGCATAATTTATAATGTTTGAGGAATAATTCTTGCTTACAGAAATCCTTCTTTTAGTAAAAACCGTTTTACTAAGTGCTCATTCCAAGTATTACTGTGGTAAATAAGTAAATCCCTGTTTCAAGCAGAAGGCTCCAAATTTGCTTTGGGACCAAGAATCACTTGGTACTAAGCAAGCTTTCTGCTTTTAGAAGTTATTTTAATTCATGGTAAGAATATTTTGTCACATCTGACACTAAAATGTAAAGCCACTCTGGTAGGAATTGCTTTTTCCAGAGGAAGTCTGCTCTTTTAGCTGAGCAAGAGATGACAGGCAAGTCAATGTAAGTTAGTCTCATTTTCTGTTCATCTGGAAGTAATTCCAGCTGAGTAGAGATCAGTTGTAATAGCAGATCAATTTTTTTGTATTTTGAAAACGTGAAGTATTGTAATATCAGCATTCTTTACCAAGCAATACAAGCGCGGGTTACTTGTATACAACAGAAATGTGACTGCTACCAACTTCGGCTGTCAGTGAGTGTTCTGTTAGACTACACCTGTAATTCTGTATGTGAAAGTTTCTAATGTCTCACTTATGGTACCCCATCACCTCCTCCATCCCCACTTTCAATCAATTCATGTTTCTTCTTTTGTCTTATTGCCAAGCATCGTGCAATGCCCAACGCACCTCCTTTTAAAAACCGTACAAAGTTGTCTCCCACCAGAGGACCTAAAGCAAAGAGGTTCGCTTCTTTAGTGCATTCGTAAGTGTACGGATCAATCTCTATAGGATTCCCCTTGCATGTGATGGGCTGGTTAGAGTGATGACCTATGCTATGTCCTTGGTCCTTTAGAAAGAAAAGGTTTGGGTGAGAACCTATGAGAACTAAGGCTACAGAAAACTTCAAAATTTTCTTCAGTCCAGAGGCACTCTGAAGAACACATTTCATTTCAGGCTTGAAGGACAGTACATTGTGCTCAGGGAAACTAGTGTAAGCAGAATGCAGATTAGAGTCCACAGTATGGGACTGAGTACACATCATATGATAGACCTTATGGTATTCAGGGTAAAGCTTTTTAGGTAACTGTTTGAAAATTAGACTTGTATCGGTAACTCTTCTGCGAAACACATGGATTACTGGGATGTTGTTGTTGTAGGCACACAGAACTGCATCAGCTGCTGTAAGTCCGGCACCCACAATTAACACAGGGTCTGCCTTCCCACGTAACTTTCCTTTGCTGATAGCAGCTCCGAAGTCAGACATGGAATGAAGCACAAAAGGAAAGTCTTCTCCTTCAACTTGTAGTCGGCCCGGAGAATCAAAGGTTCCTGTGGCAAGCGCCACGTTCTCAGCAAAGAGGCAGAAGGGTACATGAGAACCATCTGCTGCTCGCTGATAACCTCTGACTTCCCAGTTTCTCTTAATCAGTGACTTTTGTCCATCTTCCACCTCCAAATGCTGTGTTGAAATACTTTCATTTAGTTGACTTCTATCTTCATCATCCTTTCCTCGACAGAGCCTGGATACTGATGTGATGTAAACATTGTCTCTGAAATTCTTTTGGAGGCCCATGACTTTGACATAGTGTTTATAATAACAAGCTATTTCTTCTGGCATTACTCGATCACTCTTTATATTTCTGAAATGAAATCGCGTAATTAATATTTAGTTAATATTTAGACTTTATCAGGAATCTGAATATCATATGTGACATACCACATGAGAGCACAATATAAGAGGATTGAATCTGCTCAGTGTAACTGACACAGAGTTCCATATCTTTAAATGCATTCAAGTTGTTTTATTTGTTCTCTTGATTCCTGACATACAAGACAAGCTAACTTTTTTTTTAACAGTTATAAATCTTTACAATGTAAAGTGGTAATTAAAGTGTTATAATTAACAAATTAAGTGTAACAACACCCTGCAGTATCAAGGTAGGTCTGGATGGAAGTGTTTTACAAAGCCAGTTTAGCATCACAACCGTCAACAATACAATACTGGCTAAACTTGTATTTGGTGAGAATACACTTACTTGGGCTATAAGTAAGCAAGTATCATAGTAATTGTTAAGTGCTAATTTTGAAACTCTAGGTTCATTACATTACTCAAGTCAAGTATTCTTCATTATACTTTGCAAAGACCTCTCCCTTGGGTACAGGGAAATTCAGTAAATATCAAATTAAGTAGTTCCATATCACAGGAATGAACAAAGCAAGTATGACACAGAACCTTAACGCAACTATGTAAACAGGATTATGATTTCCAAGTGTCCAATAAAAAACATTTTTGCACTGCAATCCTGGTATTGCAGCTATGCTTTTCTCATGTTTATTAAATTCTCATTTACAAAAAAATATGCTGAAAATGCAATTATTCTGAACCAGTGCATGAATTTTGCTGCTTCTTTAGAAGAAAGCTCTAGGAAAAAGGCAAAAGACACAATAGTGAACATCAGGATTGCCACTGAATTACACTTAAAAGCATATTTAAAGGAAATCAGGCTACTCCTTCTCATAGATTAACAAGATAATAGCATATGTACTTTTAAATGTTCAAGTTACTACTCTGAAAATCCTGATATTTATTAAAGAGGATAATGAGACGTGTGTGACACCTGCTACAGTGAAACTTAGGAAACTATATTACATGACTAGAAGTTTTCATTATCATCAATAATTTTAAATATGTTTGTTTAGTTGTGGTATAACAGGTCAGCGTTTCTGTTTTTAGTATTGTTGAAAACTACAATATAAACAAATTAGCTTCAGATAATAAGCAGCTTATGGGATTTCAGTTAATAAGGAGGCAAGATTACTGTGGTTATCTAAGAAAGCGATTAAAGAACAAAGGTACAGTTTCTTCACTATAAGTGTTGTCCTGAAATAAGTCTGCCCTTAAACACATATGCCCAAGTAATTCTATTTCTTCTTTTGCCATACCTGGTACAAGAGCAACTTCCTTTAATTTTTCTAGAACAAAGTCAGGAGACGTAAAATTTTAGAAAAAGCTTACATGGAGTGTTCCTAGATTCTTCTGCTGACACAGACCTTTATGAACTGTGTAACTGAAGTAAAAACAGTAAGCTTGTACAAGACAGTAATTTTTCTTCTCTAAAATTTATCCAAGAAACTTACTACTAGAAAATAACATTGCGAAATACTGAACTGTGCTCTTAAAATTCAAATTCATAGATAGCAACATTTCATATGCTGCAGCTTTGCCTGTAGAATACTGAAATATACAATTTCCTGAATTACAAGAAAGCTAGTGGGCGCAGCAACTTAAGCTGCATCCGTGTTGAAAAAGGAACTTCCAATATTTCTGTAGATTTTAAATTCCTCCCTCAACCTTCCCTCAACTCTGATCAAAACCGCTTACAGTAACAGTGCTTCTTTGTGAAATGCAGCTAGAACACCACTGCTAGTATGTGTGCTTTCGGTGCACTCAAAGCAATTCCTCTGGCTAACCATTGTCCATTTTTTTCCCATCAGAGTACACACAGCAGAATAATTTCCAGTTGCCATCAGGCAATTGAATAAACAAGACAAGAAGCTGTCCTGTGAACAATGACGTTCGAATGCTTTCTAGTTCTCAAAATAATGTTATCTAGATTCTTATAGCAACTAGGTTTCCCAGATACATTATACAATACCTTTACCTGCGTTTGCTAGCTGCCCACTCCTTAAAGGTGAGGCCAGGCAATTCCATCCAGTCTCCAAAACTGATTGTTAGCATAGAGCCTTCCATGGACTACAGAGAAAAACCCAAGAGGCGTGACTAAATACATTTCAAATAGATACATTTATGTAAAACACAGTGAAGTTCTTCTCATTGTACCCATTTAGAGCAATAAAATACCAGAACATAACATAATACCCAGACGTTACATGAAGTGCTGAACTATTTTCTTGTTACAGTGAGGTACTATTTTAATGAGCAACTACATGATATAATGAAGCAGAAGGTGAAGAGAGAGCAAGCAAAATTAAAAGCAAGTTATTTAAAATACAAAACAAGAAGGAAAAAATGTGAAACCAACAGAATATGAACACTAAGATTTGTGTATAACAGCACCTGGAAACAATGCAAAGAAGAGAAAAAGTCGTAGAAAATACTCTTCGTTATAATTCATTAAATTTAAACTAATTTAAAAAAACAAACATGCAAGACAGCAGTCAGGGTCACAAATCCCCAAATGAAGGAACCTTTTCCTTCCTTTCTCACCTCCCCAACATATGTGGGCTTTGGTAACTGAGCAGTTGAAACTGCAATTGCCATTACCATCTAAATCAGCCTTAGACAGTAAGAAAAAACCCAAACCACAAAATTATCAAGTTATCCTAGAAGTGATATGAAATTTTTACTCACATGCCAGGCCCCACCAGGTGGTCCTTTACCAAGCACTATATGGGGAATATAATGATGTTGTTCTAGCTTCCAGTGCAGAACTGGCGGGTAGTCATACCCAAAGTCAGCATCAGGATGAAGCAATGTATCAAAAAGCACTGCAACTGGGTTTGAAGAGCGTCCTTCGAGACCTTCAGACAGGTACTCTAGATCCTAAAGTATGAAGAAAAGTGGTATGTTCATGCCACTTTTACTGTTCATCGTGCTATTCTGATGTACAGAAGTTGAATTTCAACAAAAACCACAATTAGTTCAAGTTGCATTTTAAGTAGAGATAACTACTTAATGTAGATATTCAATCAAAACACTTTTCAGAAATAACTGCCATGATTCAGTTCTTCCGTAATTCTGAATAATACATTTCACTCATTTAAAAATGACATGTTAATAACACAGTAATATTGGGGCAGGTCAGTATTTGAAATTCATTGCAGAAAAAGAAATATGGAGACAAATATTCAGAGATCAGAACAACTTAGTAACATCTATATTTATAGATAGCAGACAGCTTTTAACAAAGAATTGCAAGGTTTTCTTGGAGCCCCATTTTGATAAAGCAAAATTGGAATCTAAAAAAATTAAGTTTTAAAGACAAAGTAGAAAAAGGTCCTTTGACAGTTCTTAGGTAGTTCCAACACTATTATATTTTGAAATAATGGAGGTATTACAAGTATTCTTTTTAAAAATTAATTAAAACTAAGATTATTTTACAAAGCAGTTAATGTTGAAAACAGTTTCTAGAACTTTGTAAAATGTTCACATTTCAGCATCTATTAACCAGCTGTGTTCTAAAAACTTCATGATGCAATAGCAAATATTTGAAGAGAGAATAGATATTTGAAGAAAGAATTAGCCATAAGGCCATTTTTTGCTGACAAAGACAGAACAGTTTAGCTTCCTAAACTGGGAAAATATCAGGGGGTCGGGCAAAGATGAAGTACATGAAACATCTGTGGCCAAAAGCTTAGGCAGCTTAATATCCTACTAAAAAAATAAATCTTGAGACTTAAGGTCAACATTACATGCAAACAGAACAGCACTAAAACAAAATCCAAAAAAGCCCAAACCCCAAAGCCAAAGAACCCCTGCTTCCCCACTACAAACACACATGCATGTTTGTATTTCAAATAAATTAGTCACACAGGCAACACAGAGATAGCATTGTGAGTAATCCATCAGGAGTTCAGCGGGGTGAGTAGAAAACAATGATAACATGGCAAACAAATGGACAAGTGGGGAAAAAAATAATGGAGAAGATTTAACTAATCTTTAACTAATTAACTAAACAGACAGAAAATTTGGATGTCTATGAGGATAAATACAGCACATTCAATTGAAAGTGCAACACAAACACTGAAGGTTTCATACTGTTCAGAAAAGAAAAATGGGTTGTATTTATAGAGGATATATTCCCCTAATGTTACTAAAAATGAAGTCTTAATGAGAATTGTACTATTTAGGAAGATTTTAACTTGAAGTATGTCAGCAGCGTGTGTTCTTTGATGACAGTGCGAAAAAAATCCTAGGACATGAAAGCTGGAATTCCTGCATCAGCTACCTACTAACCAAGTGGTATTTTAGATGCTTTTGGCAAGTAATAAGAACATGACAAAGGGCAGAGTATAAAACCAAAAAACACCACAAACAAAAAGCCCTGAACAACCACAAAAACCACCACATGGCCCAGGATTTTATCTAATGGTCATGAGTTGATTCTATTTAAATGAACAGAATAACAAAATAGCTTATTAAGGCATTAGAAATACAATTAGGTAAATAGGCTGGTTCTTCACAATGCAATCTGCAGATTTTTTTGGGATAAGCAGTTCTTAAAATTCATTGCTTTTCATATGAAGGGCCCTACATATAATTTGTTACAAGCCACTAAGGAAAGTATATGCTGCTCTTGAATTTACAGGTAGGAAAAAAAAAAGAGGCAAAGAGATAAAGCTAGTTGTTTGAGGCCACACTGTTATACCAAGCTTTACTGTGGTCTAATTCTTTGTGGGGTGAGAATATTAAGCCTTTTACTTGTCTATGGCACTACTTATGTAAGTTGCAAAAGCATTTTAAACAGGATCATTAAAGAAAGCCTACTGTTTCATAATCCAGTTTGCAGTAGGAAAAGAGCTAGACAAGATGGCAACCAAAGCTTACTTGATCAACAATGGAAAGATGTCGAGCTTCTTCTAATTTTGTATGTAGAATGGGGTTTGGGTGTATAGCTTCAGGGGATAAATATGGCCTGTATCCAGACAGCAGGTAAGAAAGACAAATTCCCGAAGGTCCATTTCCTATTAAAGAAAGAAGTTACTGCTTTAGTAAAAATATCAATAATCTAAGGTGTGTAAGTCACTAATTAAGCATCAACAAAATAATACTAAAGTAGTATAATGTGATACTTTCCTGATTCAAAGCAGCTTATAAACTTCACAGTAAAATAACGCCTACCATAGGAACTTCCTCCAAATAAATCGTGCAAAATCTTTTTCAGGTAACAAGAAACATGTATAACTGTTTACACCATAAAACAACATACGTATAAAGGACTTTCATAATTTAGTACGTCAAATTCACTATTCTTGTGTGAAAATGGTCTGATGGATAATATCAGGTCTGCTTGTCAATCGCAGTGATACTGAATATTACGGTCATCTTACAGTTTTGCATTCCCATTTACACTGGGTACTGTAAAACACAGAACAGAAAGACAATCTAGAGCATATGCTCTTCAGGTCTGCCCATAAAATAAACAGAAGAAAGGGACAAGCAGAAAGCTAAAGAATGCAAGTCAGATGAGAAGTCAGAGACACAGCTCAACAGCAACATAAAAGCTGAGTGAACAACATCAATTCAAACATCTTTCCATACCTTTTTTGTAGCATTTTATAATTCAGCTATTCCAAATTTAATAGACTAACTTATTTTCAAAAAGTTACTAAAGGTGTGAAATGGATGGGACCAAAACTTTACCATAAGGTCATTATTTCTATTTATTTAACTAGTATTAAACACAGCAGGGAACCATACTTACAATATGCAAATACAGAAGTAATGTTCATGTTGCAAAGTCAGATATCAAAAGCTAGGGAAAGCTACAGTCCGAAAAGTACGTGCTATGATACAGAATTTAAATGTGATTATGCACCGCTTTTTCTATAGCTCCTCTTCCTCATTAACTGAATGAAAAGCACAGTGTTCTCCTAATGAGGCACTATTCGGTATTTTGTCTTTGTTTTGCATCTAGAGTGGCACACATGGTATTTACCACACAGTATTCAAATTCTGGGCTAAAAATAAAGTTACTAATTTATTCATGGTTTTATATAGCACTCATTGCTAGGATGTTAGCTCTTACTTCCTACTGTCTCAACTCTTGATCTCAAGAGCTCACCTGTAGATTCCTGTTCCCCATCACCTTTGCGCACATTATTTCCACCACCTGTTAACAATCCCATTTCTCCAATGCCTGTCTCGTCTCCCTTTTCTGACTTCCCAGTCCCTAAATGTCCCATCAGTTTGCTGAGACCCTGTTCATTCCCAGTCTCTTCATATATTGGATCTCTTTTTCCTCCTCCAACAGGCTATGCTTATCACTCTGGTCCCCAGTGGCAGTATATGCCATACTTTATTACAATGCTGTGTGCATAGACATGTTATAGCTATGGGCTACAAGAAAATCATGCAGGCTTACTGCACATGAGTTCTTCAAAGGCCAAGACTGCTAAGTTATAAGGAATCTTCAGTAAGCATGTTTTCTTTGAAGGCCTAGAACCCCAAAAAGTATGTGAGACTGCACAATGGCTCCTACCAAACAGTCTAGTTTTTTGCACCTGAATATGCAGGAAAAAATAAAGGCATTAGAGTGCCTGTGTACTTCTAGGACCATAAGGCACTGAAAAAACTGTCTAGGAAAGCTGTGGATTTCCAGCTGTCTTGGGTTGAGTGAGTGGTGGGTTTTTTTTTTGGTAGCAGGGGAGGGGGCTATAGGGGTTGTCCCCTGTGAGAAGCTTCTCGAAGCTCCCCCAGCTCCAAGTCAGCTCCACCTCTATTTGGAGCCTGAGACCATCAGCTGCGCCTCTGCGATAACGTATTTAAGAAGGGACGTGGTGACGGGCAGTGGGACTTGTGAGGAGGAGTTGCTGCAGCTGCGTGAACACCAAGGTCAGTGGAGGAACGGAGGAAGAAAGGAGGGGGGAGGTGTGCTGGAGCAGAGACCCCCCTGTATCCTGTGCTGAGACAGCAGGGCGGCCCCCCCTGCCACCCATGAAGATCTACGGTGGAGCAGACATTGATTTATGGCCTGTGGCTTCTGCCTGGATGAGCAAGCTGCTGTGCCCGAAGAAGGCCGGGATCTTGTGGGAAAAGGTAGCCCCGCTGCTGTAATTCAGTGCTGGGAGGATTGCAGCATGCGGGGGAGTCCCACGCCAGAGCAGCTCGGGAAGGGCTGCAGCCGTGGGAGGGAATCCAGTTGGAGAAAGTTAGTGACCCATGACGGAGCAGTGTGGGGAATGCTGCGGCCCATGGGAGGGACTCATGTCAGAGAAAGTTTGTGGAGGACTGTCTCCTGTGAGAGGGGGACCACGATGGAGCAGGGGGAACAAGTTCCAGAAGCTCCCCCCACCGAAGATGATGAAAGTGGCAGCACTGACTGCACCCCCCATTCCCTGCCCCTGAGCTGCAGGAGGAGGAGGTAGAGATATCGGGAGCAGAGCTGAGCCCAGGAAGAAGGGAGGGGTGGGGGGAAGGTGTTCTCAAGATGTGGCACTGCTTCTCACTGTCCTACTCTGTTACGTGCTGTGAGTGTCTGTAATAAATGCATGCTCTTTTTTTCATCCCCTAACAAGTCTGCCTTTTGCTCGTGACCATAAAGGGGGATTTTTTCCCCATCCCAGTTCTAACTCGAACCCCAAGCCTGGCCCTCTGTCACTTCTTATTGCTGGAAGGGAAGGGAGAGAGAGTGGCTGTTGGCTGCTGACCAGGCTCAAACCACGATACCAGCATTGGAATCTTCAAGACAGATAAATCAAAAAGTCTGTAATAAAAGGTTTAAATAATGATGATCCTGCCTATATTATTTCCCAAACCACTTTGATTCCTATTTTGCCATTTACAAAAAAGACCATCGAGAATCTTTTAGACAGCGAAAACACTCTTCCTTACTCTCACAGTGTTCTACCCTCCCACAAACAGATCAGCATGAGATAGCTGGGTATGTTTCAGTCCAGGAATTTCAAGCTTAAAACAGCTGCAAGCCCCTCCTGTCACCCACTTGCCACATGAGATGGATGTGAGAGAAGACCTTAATGATACACTGAAACCACCCATAACAAAATCATGCCAAGTTGTGAAAACACTCTAATCATACTAATAGCTCACAAGCATTCCCATGACTAAGTTCTTAACTATTTTTAGAATTATATCTTGTCCACAGTAAAGAATTTTGTTTCTTTTTACAAGTGCATAGCTAGATTTTTTTCCTACTGGGGTATAAAGGAAGCTAGTCCATCATGTAAAGAGAAAAATCTGTGCCATATCCAATGATGCTGTGCTAAAGATTATTCCTACTGGATAAGACTAAAAAGAACCAAACGGGTAACAAGTTGCCAAAACAAAGGCTGGCAAGGGCCAAGGAAATTACTGAGGATTGGATTATGTTAAGGTGAATTACCATCACTGAGCTCCCTAGACATTCCTCTGAGACCATCCAGAGAGTCGATTCAAACCCAGTTCCTATTCTTTGAGCAGACTGAGTCCAAGGGAAAGGAATTCCCCTGTGGATATCCTCTCAAGAACACACAAGATGAAGGTTCAGCTGCAAGGTCTGCAATTAGAATTGCTATGATTTTCTCAGAAAATCCCTGGGGGAAAGAAGAAAACAACAACAACCACCTTTTTGAAATGAGAAACTTATACTGAGGAGTTTGCTCTTTATTTACACACAATGCCTCCTCCAATAACAGCTCTGTTCACAACTGGAAGATATTACTATTATACAAATTTTAGATATACAATTGATTGTATATCTAAATAATAAGTTTGTATAATCCCACAGCCCTGTTCATTTAAGGAGCAGTTAATATTTTGTTTGAATAGAAGCATAAGCTTCTCCTGATCACAGTAAAGCCTTGCTTTTTGGTTGAAAATTTAAAACATTTTTTTAACACAGTAATGATCAAAACTAGTGCAGAAGATGAAAGCATTTAGCACAGAACATCCTCTAGACATAGAGCTCCAGCATGAAATTCTTCAATCCCAGATCATTCAAATGGAATATATCCATTTCCTTCCAATTTCTTGAAGACAGGTACAGCACAGAAGTTACTATTACCCCAGAGGCTTAGTACTCTATTGCAGAACTGCAGTACAATATGCAGCACAAGCTTAGAATCAAATCTGAAATTGGGCATCATACATGGAAAAAGGGGGTGGTGAAGTTAAAGAAAGGGGATATAAGTTATTGCTCCATCATTAAGTTAACTGTTTACACATGTGCCATCTTTTTCTTTCTGATTAATAAAATAGCACAATGAGAAAACAGTAGTACTAGGAAGCTAAAAGTATACTTAACAGGAATCACATGGAGACGATTAAACCTGTAGAGTACGTATGGGGGAGGGATGACAACTATTTTTGTATTCTTCTACTACTTTATTAAATCATTTTAGATCCCTTTTAAGGCTCTTCAGACAGCCAATGAATTAGTGATAATAGACTGCCAATGGAGAAGATCAGCTTGTGAAGCATCTCAAACATATCCGTGAAAAAGCATTTGGGTAACGAATTTGTTTTTCAAGGAGAAATAGACAAGGCAGCTGTGTTTAGTGTCAGCACATAGAAAGGCGCTCTAGACAAAATGAGTATTGAGCACAGGTATTTGCATAATGCATATTTGCAATATAAACAGTGAAAACTGAGTCATTAACCATATGGCAAACCTATACGCAGGTTGACAAAATGCCAGAAAACTGTTGCTCTTCAACTATGATGCAGAACTCAGCAAGTGATTCACGTCTGTCACATCCACGTAAGTCTATTACATGAGCACTATTTTAAGATATCATGAAAACAGCTTTAAGGATAGGCACCATACAAACATCAGTCTTTCAAAGTTTTCACTATTTACTGGGAGCACATTACATTGAAACATCATTATCTGGGATCTATGTTTGTTTGCAGGTACAGTTAAAGCTGTTGGTTTGCTGTAGTCCCAAAATCTTTGGACTAGATTACTGAAAACATCCTTTATTCCAGATCTTTTCTTTATTCCCTCATCAAGTCATGGCAGTAAGGAGCTGGTGACCAGCTGTTGCTGAAAAACCTTGGCCCAAAACAAATCATCCTGGCACTCTTAATTAGGGTGTCTATCTAAGGAGCCTGCTCCCTCTGCTATCCTGTCATTCAGTAAGATTTTACAAGTATGAGCCTTTAACTGTTTAATCAAGACTACAATTTATTGTTTTAAACTGGTTTAATTGACTTGGATTCATTCTGGAAAAGATGGGGCAATATTCAGATGTTAGTGACGGATGCAACAAAGTAAAAGGCAATTAATGAGAGTTTAGCAGCTGAACAACATACAGCACACGTTTTACATTATGCTTTACACTGTCCCATCTGACCCCACAAACTTCTACTGGTTCACTATCAACAACCTCCATGCAACCTGAAGTAGACATATCACATTAATCAAAACCTAAGTGATCAACACTAGATTCAAAACAGTTCTTCCATTAAGAATCACGTATCTGATGCCAAAAGATGTGGCTCATTTTGTCAAAGCACAATTTGAATTCAAATATACTCCAATGGCAAGTCCCTTAACATAACTTTACAGTACTGTTGTTAATCGTAACAACTGTATTACTCTAATACAGGATGCTAAGCATTAGTTACTTAATGATAAATGACTTCATGCAGCAGGTCTATAAGGGCAATGGCAGTGAGAGAGAATCTTAAAAAAGTGAAAAAACTCACCTATTATTACAACAGGCAGAGTAAGGAGGGAGTCCCCAGGCAGAACAGTTTCTTCGATTAAAGGCATTCTTTTAATCCTCTTCCCAAGGCTGTCACCAAAATACTGGACGAATGAATTCAAAAGCTGTCCTTCAGTTTCAGGGCCGCTGTAACTTCTAATTAAGAAGGACAGATGGGAGAAAATGAAACAGTTCAACTGTCATCAGAACAGTCTCTTCAAAAATAAAGCTGCTTTTGATGCTTTAAGAGCTCTGAAACTGGCAAAACTGAGACCAAAACAGATATTCTTCATCCAATCTACAAAATGTTACTCTTGAGCACAGCTTTTCCACAGAAGATTTTTAAAGTCCACTCTCTCCCAAAAAGTCTACAGAATAATAACAAAAAGGCACAGATGGTTCTGCAGAGATGCAGATTTCTCATTTCAGTTTATACAAAGCCAAAGTATAACCAATAAGCATTATTCTGATCCCACACACAGCAGAACTCATTCCTCATTATCTTTATCAAATGAGGAGAGAAACACACTCCCTAGCTGACTGAGAACACTAAGGCCAGCCAAAGGCTGCAGCAGCAGCCCTTCGCATCCCTTCCTACCTGCTGAGCAGTACACAGGACTTCACCTCAACAAATTTCTGTTCTGATAGAAGCCAGGCTGGTTAAAGCTGGCAGTGGTGTGAAGATGGAGAAAAGCGTGACCCCTGTAAGCCCTAGACAAAGCCCCTTTTACTATTGCTAAAAGAAAAATTTTTATGACAGGAATTGCCATGCAGTCGGGTCTGCTACTGCGCAGCAGACTGCTTTCACCCCTAGCCATTTTCCTGGATTTCTCAGTCCTTTCTCTGCAACATCTACTTAGGTTCCTCTCACAACCCTTCACCATCTAAATGTGCTTCTAGACTACAAAGACTTAGTTTACATTGTTTGCTGTTTAATTATTTAGGAGCCCTTTCTGAAACCTTTCCAGGTCAGTGAAGAAGCACGCACTATCATTTTAGCTAGAAAGCCAGGGCAAATTAAAAATGGTCTGCTATTGGCAGTTATGTTATTAAGTCTTCAAAATAAAGACTTAACAACTTTTTAATTAAAAATACTCCGGCAACTGATCTAAACATTCTTCTCTTTACAAACACAGTTTTAATTATTAACTTAATAAATATCAGTACTCTTACTTATATCCTAAGTGTCTGCATATCTTAAAGCTATTCTAGTATTTCAGGACTTACTTTCTACACAGGACCAAAACAGTCAGACACTGATCCAACTCCCACAGCTTTCAAGAAGCCACGTATGCTATGTGCCACTTCAACTCCCACAACACCAAAGGTTCTGCTACATATTTCAAAAGCCTTTCCTCAATGGGGAAGTCTGAAGTAAACTAGAGACAGAGCTGTACAGTAATAACAGCACTAGCCCACACTGTAATACTTCTCTCTCTGGTGGTTATTTCCTTGTTAAAAAAAAAAGGGGGGGGGGGGGAGGTGTGTGTGTGTGCTATTCTAAGGTTGTATTTATTTCAAAAAGCAAGTACTTGATACCTGTATTCCCTGCACTACAACACAAAAAGTTTGTAAATTAAGTGCTGCTTGATTACAGCTGCACATTACATACAAACAGCATGAGTTAGATAAAGACTAACTGAAGGCTGAGAGAGGATATCTAATTATCACACTGCTTTTTTCCCCTCTGCTTTTAGATAGGCACGGGCAGACTATATTATTTTCCGGCCTTTGGTCAAAGTTAACTAAAGCAATACTGCCCTATGCTGCGCCAAAGACAGGCTTACAGGGAGCATGCACGTTTTAGGGTGGTTTGAATATACTTGCTGTGCTAGACGGAAGATAAAACCCAAAAGAAACATTTCAAAACCTCTTTTTATAGGATATATGCACAGTGCTATAGGCTACAAAAGAATCTTTAACAATAAAAATGTTGCTTCTGTGCAGCTTAGTCTATCACAAACTACCCAACTGGTTTAGTGCAGAATCTAATTTTGCATAGAAACATCTGCATACAACACAGTTTCTCAGCTACTGTGGATATGAAGCCGATGAAGGACAATTGTGGGGAGCATGTTCTTCCTTTGAGAGAACATCACATCAGAATTCAGTAAGATCTTAAATCAGGGGTCACCATCTCCCTAACCTCTGAGCAACACTGAAAGCCACCAAGTACCCGAAGTTTTTATCTTGATAAAAACTCATGGTAGAGAGCTTTGCAGTGGTGGGGATTTGGCAAAAATATCTATGGCTCTAGTCCTGCAGAGATGCAAGCAGGCACAAAGATGAATCAGTTCCAAAGCTAGTGCTTAGTTCACCTTGTGCTTGTCATACCAAATAACCTCAAGAAATACATTCTGCCAAACACCTAGATTCTAAACACGTTCATCTTCTTTGCTTTTTAGTGCTTTTCAGTTAATTATTTATGTTTTTAATTGATGTGAAAAAAACAGTAAGATAAAAAAACTGCACATACATAAACATTTTTTTTTCCCTCTGACAAAGAAAATAGTAATTCTTTCATAATTACTGTCTTCGTTTACTGCAAGTTACTGAAATAAGAGCTGCCTTTTTCAGGTAGCACTTCTGAAAGATCCTAGAATTTCCTGCATACTTTTAGCAAAAATATTAAGTAAACTGACTGTAGTGGGCGGTTAACAGAAAGCTTGTTATATAAAAGGAATTTAAATTTGGTCTCGAGTCGACACTTCGGGAAACAAATTTATCAGAGTCAGATTGCTGGGGTTTGTTTTTTTTTTTTTTTTTTTTTTCAAGCAACCGGGAGGAGCGATGCCCATCGGGACCGGGATCCCCGCCGGTGCAGCGCTATGATCCCGGAGGCGAAAGCGAGCATCAGCGGGCGGCGGTTCCCCCCCCGCCCCCCGCCCAGGCTGCTGCCCAAGGTGAGGGCGCGGCCCGCCGGGGCCCCGCCAGCCCCCCGCCATCCCACCCCCACCCCCCGGCGCCCCGGAGGCGGCGTGCGGGCCCGGGCAGCGCCGCGGAGGCCGCAGCAGCGGGGCGGCGGCCGCGCTCCCCGTCCTCACCGGCACCCCCCCCCCACCCCACCCCGGACCTCCCCTCACCCGGCTCCCGCCGCGCCGGGGAGGGGGCGGCCCGCAGCCGCTCTGCCCCCACGCCGCCCGCTCTGCCCCCGCCGCCTCACCTGAAGTGACCGGCCAAGGAGCAGCGGCAGCACCACACGGGCATGGGGAGCGCCGGCGGGGCCCAGCGATGAGGCTGCGGGGAGGACGCCGCGCCGCCGCTCCCGCTCCTCCTCCTGCCGCCGCCGCCACGCTGGGGCCGTCCCTCCTCCGCGCTCACATGCGGCAGCGGGTCACAGGCGGGAGGAGGAGCCGCCGCCAGCACCGGGAGAGAGGGACGGGGAGGGCGCCGCTTCCTCCTCTCGGCCCCGCCGCCTCCCCCTGCGCCCGCTGCCCGCAGGAGGTGCGGGATGCGCCGCCTCCCCCTCACGCCCCCCTCCCCGGGGAAGGCGAGGAGCGGAGCCGCGGCCTGGCACCGGCGCGGGGGAAGGGTGAGCGGGAAGGCGGCGCAGCGGCCGGGAGGCACCTCCGTGGGGCAGGGGCGAGGCGGGCGGTGGCAGGAGGGGCCGCCGCGGCACAACCACGCCGGAGGAAGGCGGGGGCCGCTGCCCGCCCCGCGCAGGCCGCGCCGCCTTCCCGCCGCCGGCCGGGGCGCACCTGCGGCGGCTGCCCCGGCTGAGGTGAGTCGCAGCAGGCTGCGGTGCCCGCGGCAATGGCGGGGATCCCCCGGCCTTCCCCTCCCCACCGGCCCGGCCTCCTGCTGTGCCCTCCCCGGGTTTCACCTGGGAAATGCGCGTGAGGAAATTAACAGAAAGGAAACTAGGTTCAGAAGTTTCGAGGCAGTGTTTGGCCAATGGCCACCTATTTGGGAGCAATACTTCATATATGTTCTGTGAGCTACTTGAACTTGTGTCTTGCCATAAATATTTTGCAGGTGTGCTTATCTGGGAGAAATGGTGTCTTACCTAGACTTTCCACAGTGACAGAGTGTCTGACGTTGCCAGGGTCCTCTGGAGCTGATCTGGTCCAGCCCTTTGCTCAGGCAGGGCCACCTGGACCAGGCTGTCTGGGAACGCACCCAGTTGGGTTTTAAGTATCTCCAAGGATGGAGATTTCATGACCACCCTGAGCAGCCTGCTCAGGTGTTGGACCACCCTCGCAATGAAAACATGTTTCCTTATGTTCAAGTGGAATTTCCTCTCTTTCATTTTGTGCCCATTGCCTCTCACACTGTCCACTGAAAAGGGCCTGGCTCTGATGTCTTCATTTCCTCACATCAGGTATTTATGCACATGGATAAGATCCCTCCAACCTCCTTTTCCACAGGCTGAACAGTCCCAGATTTCTCAGACTCTGCTCATAGTAGTTAGTCTGCTATGAGAGACACCCATATGCAGGTTTTCTCTCTGAAAGTCTATTAAACAATAAAGGAGAACGCTAATCTGTGATTGTTTATTAAACAATTGCAGCCTTTCGCACAGTTACACTCGACAATTTGAAATGTTGTCTTTGTGAATCTGTCCCGTAAATCCACAATGCCAAGATCTTACAAGGCTGTAGAGTTACTGTGTCTGAAGTGGTTGTTGGTAGCTAGTAGTCCAGTTCACCTGTAGGTTGGTTGGTCAAACAGGCTGTCATGACTGCAGTCAGCAAATAATTACTGTTTAATAGTATCGGCCTGGTTCCCACTAGAAAGGCTTTACACTTGTATGTGCTCTATAAAAACCTAAGGCAAAAGAATACAGGAGCTGACTTATACCACTGAGAAAATGCAGAATATTGATACAAAATCTATTTAGAAAGGATGAAACATAAGCAGTTAAACATGTTCTTCAAGTATACCCAGCATGGTGTGTAATATGTGTTTAGACCAGAAATAACAACCTGAAACTGCATTTAACTTCCTCTACCTGCAAAAATGCTGCCTTCAGTTCAGGAGACCACATGAATGATTTGTATGTTGACCAGATAACTCATGCTACTTCAATATTCATACCATTTTATTAAAATTGTGTTTTCCTTTACAACGACTTACAGAAAAATACAACAGAAACTGAAAGGCAATCTTAAGTTTTTTCACATAATATTTTGCTCAGTTAGGACTCAGCCTCCTCCTAGATGCAAAACTCCAGGTCTGTGGGACCTCGTGCTTCAAGGAAACTAGCTATAGCCAAACAAAAGTTTTTCAGATTTTGCTAGCTATTTGCTGGCAAGGTCAGGTGACACTGACTTCAAAATCAACACATTAAGGACATATTTGGCTTTAAGTACCACCTTTATTTCCTCCATCAGCAAACCTGGTTATCTAGAATATAACACAGAACCTCAGCTATACTGCTACTATTAATAGTTTGTGCCCTTATCTTTGTGGACATAACATTGAGTAAAAGAGAAAAACAACCACACCTGTGTGCACACATGATCAGGACGTGTCTTGCCAGCATGCTTTTACATTTAAAATCAAAAAAAGATATACTTTAAGTTTGTGATACAAAGAAGATAGGTTGAAAAAATCTTTGTATATCTAAGAAATACTCATGAGGCTTTTCTGGAAATGGTATTCTGCGTAGATGGCTTGGGTTGAAATTATTTATATGCTTCTCCCAGTAATAAAATTTTATGTTCCCTTGAAATTCTACATGTTACCCTGGGTTTTTCAGATGTCTTAGTTTTTTGGTTGGGATTATTTCAAATCCATGTTTCATGATAAAATATATTTTCTTCAGATGTACCTTTGTCTTAGTTATTTAACACTAAGAAAGCAACAAATGAGAAGAGAATAAAACACATGAAGCCATAGCAAACATTTCCTCCCATATATAAGCACTAATCACATTTTAAAGGGATTTATATTCCCCGTTCTGTTCATTCCTGTTAAAAAATTCAGGCATTTATTGCCTGCTAGGTATATTCCAAATTTTTGCATTTTAAATCAAGCCAACCAATTAACGAATAACCTCTCATTTGCTAACACATGTACTAATTTAGGTAATAAAATTGTTAATTTGTTCAAGAAATATTTTTTTTAAATCAATTGAATTAAAACCATTTTTCTTCCCCAAATATTTAGCAAATCATTATCTGCTGATGTTGGAAAATATATTAAACATAGATTTTTGTTAATCACAAAGGTATTTATAACGACTCTTGCAGCATAATATTTCTCCTGATCAACTGACTGATAAGCGAGTTTAGTAACAGCTTCACACTGCAGAATTCCTCCAAATCCTGTGGATGCATAGGATAGGAGCATCAGAGCAGGGGACTGCTGTCTCAAGCCATGATACACAGCATGGAAAAAAAGGTCTTCATCCTCTTCAGCAAGAGCGGTATGGTCAGAGAGTAACCAAAGGAGACAGCAACGGTGTGCTGAATGCAACCTGCACGTTGTAGTATAGCATGGGAAACAGGGAAGATGACTGCAACATTTTGTTAAGATTCCCATGCCTCCACCCACTGCAATATGAGATTAAAGTATAAACTAAGTAGAAAATAGACCTGCAAGGCTTCAGATGTCACTACAAGAGTATGATCCACTCTGTTTAGATAAATACAGTATCTCAGTACTGGAGCTTACCCAGGACAGATGTCTCGTCAATAACAAACTTGTTCCCTGTAACATTAAATGACTCTGAGAGATGTATGAACCGCAAGGCCCAGCAAGTGACAGCATAGTGAAACTTTTTCTGAGATAAGCAAACAAAAAGTTTCCCACAAGCCCATGGCACTCATCCTGAAGTAAGAGGTGCTGAAGAAAGTCCAGGAGAGATTAGGAGGGCCTGAGGTTATTTACTCTCAATAGAGTTAAGCAAGATGGCAACTAGGAAATCTAACTGCAAAACAACTTTCTGCCTGGCCAAGGAAAAAGAATGATAAAGACAGGGGAATCTCAGTCAAGTTGTTCTTTTGCGGATATAACAGATCCTGCCAAAAAGTCAAGATAATTGCCAAGAGGGACAAAGAAAAGACGCTTATGGAACAACCTTAAAGCAACAGGTCTGTCAGGTTCCTGGTATCTTTTCATCACCTGATGAAAATAATTCTTTTCCATGTTTCTCTTCAGATGTTTCAAAGTGCTAATGAAATACTTGCTTGGAGAATAAAGATGCGGCAAGTTCTGTGTCAAAGAATTTTCTTAGTAGTATGGAAGGATTGACAGGATGGTCTATACAGGCCTTTTTCACTTCAGAGAGCAATTTGCCTGAATTTCTCAAAAGGGGTATGTAGTAATTGGTGATGATAGGATAGGAGGAGAATTCTACCGATGCAAGGTCAAAACTCCCAGCCAGTGGTAAACTGTGAGTCTGTGATAGCATCATTAGCACATGGAAAGCTCCCGTGTTTCTTAACACTGCACTGGACTGCTTCAGCAGATGGATAAATCAGATTGGAGAAAGCCTTAAAGTTCAGGATGTGACAGATGGGTGGAGGCGTAAATGATGTCTGGAAAACAGTGCAAATGGAAGGGATTAACCATGTGGAGTCTGCTGATAGTGTCAGTCTTCTAGACATTTAGGATAAGAATTCATAGATCCAACCCTCCATGGGAGCAGTTACTGTGTTCTTCTGTGTATTACTGGAAACAAGTCAATTGTGATTGTCTTTTGCAAGGTAGAGGAAGAGAGTTCTAAATAGGCATTAGATGGTGGCAAGGTAATTGGGGGTTTGTGCTACCTGACTTTAGAAGAAATAGGAGTGATGCCAAACCTTCTTGGAGTTGATTGACTGTCAGGGAGTGCCAGGACATGAGTTTCCTGATGTATTTAAAGGTATGAATACTGTCATGAAAGCCTTCTAGTACAGACACTTGTAAAAATCTGTTAAATTATAAAAAACATTCCGATTACAGATACCTGTAAGATGAGCGAATACCTGAGAAAGATGAGCAAATACATGAGAAAGATGAGCAAATGACAGCTATCACCATCTTGTCATGGCCACCCTGAAGTGCACAGGGGAGCTGGCTGCAGTTGTGCTGAGTGGGGTGGGGGCGAGCAGGTCCACTCCAGCCTGTTAAATCACCCACAACCAGACTGCGCTAATTATCACAGAAAGCTGGATATTCTTTATCCTCTTTGAGCATTCAGAGGTTTTTGTTGGTTTTGCCACAATGGCAAATACACCTCCACTGTGTTTGAAAGATGATATTGCTGGGAGACAGAATAGCTAACTGGGATCCAGTTACCATTAAGTGAGACTGGGAAGGGACTGGGTGCCAGAAAAAAGGACGCAAAGGAACAAGCAGCTTGCAGTGCTTAAAAGACTCATGAGAAGTGGTGGGGCTGAAAGTTACAGGCTCAGGGAACTGGAGACGTTGGTGATTCTGACAAATGTATGGAAGTCAGCATGTTGCAAGACATGAAATAAACTTTATGACGTATTGTTGAGTAAGGCAAAAGTCATATATTCAAAATTGCCATAGATTTGTTTGCAAGAATAAGTATCTGTGTAGAAAGATCTGGGTGAGGACATATCTTATGGCATGTACTAGACCTGCTCCGCAAACTTAATTAATTTAACCCCTGAGGCAACTGTTTCAGTAGTAGAACATGAGAATCTTTTGTACAGTTTGTATTTAACTTTGGATCTGTGAACTGCTCTAGTGTTAGTGTCCAAATTACCCACGGTAAAGTAATACAACTAAGAGTAAGTGTCCAGGGAAGTAAAGATTGTGTTCTGATGTGTCTTTAATGGTGCATACACTTAACTAGCTACAGCCTTTAATGAATGTGAGGTTTTATGTAGAGAATTTTCTCTTTCTGAGCAAAATTGTTACCATCTCTCTAATTATAATAGTAAATACACGATAGGTAAAATATGCAAATGGTATTTTTGGAAACATAATTAGTCTGGAAGTTCTGTCTCCTTTTGCAGTTCTGAAATTCTCTAGCATGACCTTTGAAAGAGCTGTTAGCACTATCTGCCTGTATAAAAAGAACTAGCATTTATGGAAAATACACTTGGAAACTATATTAAAATTACTTTAAATTGCTCTGTGAAAAGACAGTGTCAGTTTCTTGCATAATGTTACATCTCTATTTTATATGTATGACCAGAACTGACTGTATGCTGTAAACCTAAAATATAATAAATTATCATTTCATGCGAATCTCTCTTTGTTCTTCTAAATATCACCTTTTTTTTTTTTTCCCTATTTTTATGCAAGTTACTTTCCCTAGATATATTTCATTTATGTTTTTAAGAGTTCTAACATAAAACTAGGCCTAGTTGGTTAAAAAAGAATTAATAGAAAATGTTTGATATATGGATTATTCTAACACAAACACACTGTTTCTGGTAGGCAATCAGACAACTCTGAATCTTTCCTAGATGTAGCTGTAACTTAGTTGCCTTTGGTAGTAAGCAAAAGATAGTTACTGTTTGCAAGTAAAAAATCAGAGGCATGCTAGTGCGTACATACATAGATGAACATCCTCTTCCAATTCTAGGTTATTCTTGTATTATGTTAAGGAAGAATAGCAATGACAAAACATTCTGCACAGAGACATGAATTATTAAAAATCATTCTGTGTCTGATCTGAAATGCAAAATGCTGCAGTGCCAGAGCAGATTCAAAAACAACAGAGCAGAGTGGAAGTGGTTGTGGATTCCTGCTATTTGGAACTTGGACTGGTGACTTCCTTTTAATCAACTTGCTATCAAACAATCTTTACAACATGCTTATAGCTACGCCAAAATTTCAATCCATGCTACCATGCTTCTAGGCCACTGAAGTATGGTGAAGCAGGCCCCTTGCTACTGTATCCCACTGGTAAGTTTGCAGTAGTGTTCTTCAAATAGGTATTATAGAGAACATATATATTTGATCCTCATTTGATAGATAACTCTTCATCTCTGTATTTCTGCACAGTATGTTTTACTTTGTTCCAAGTGCAACATGGTATTGAATGGCTGTTCTGTGAAAACTAAATAGTCCATGAAAAACCAAAATACTTAGTAGACTTAACCCTCAGTATTGTCAACTGCCCTCACTGAACCAACTGGAGCGCTCTGCTGGGGTAGTGTCTTTATGCCAGTCTGTGAAGTCACTGGGATGGATGGAGCTCAGTACCCATCCTGAGCAACATCAAAGCATACTTCAAGCCTGTGGCAAAATTCCTGTAAAGATAGCCTCCACATACAACTAATAGTTCTTACCTCATTTATTTAAAATGTCTTATTCTGTAAGTAATTCCATCTAAACTTACTGATAATATTAACAACTAATAATGCTACTTTATATCATATATAACTATCCATATGCACATTTACTTTGGGGAAAGCAATTCTGCAATTTTGAATTAGGAAAGCCTTCCTATTACCTCAGAATTTTTCCTATGTAAAGACTTTAGGACATGTGGTTTTATTTATAAATAAGTATTTTTTAAAAGAGTAGAACTTTTTTCTCCCCAGTACTGCCAGATCTTTCTCTGTGCTCATTATTTTACCAAAATCCAGCTCCTGGAGTCAAATTATTTTATAGGCTGCATCTAATCCTCTGTCCCCCAAAAATATGGAAAATGTGTCTCAATCATACTTTTGATTACATAAAAACTTTGTCAAAAGTAACTCCTTAAATATAATTAATTTCAACTCCATGTATTTTGTAGGTCTGATTCATAATTTCTTAAGTACTTGAAGCTAGCTCTACTGTGTTGCTTTGATTTCTTTTAGATATAATGCTGTGATGCAAACAGCATTGCTATATAAATGTAAGAAGGTACAGCTTGTTTCTGACCATATCTAGTGCATAATTCATGCTGCCTTCTCACAGTCAGTGGTGCACGCTGTATAGAGAGAGGACTGAGGCTTGTCACAGGACATGTTGGAAAGAGGGTAATATAGTTCTAAAGATGTCAAAACTGCAATTGAATTCATGATGAATTTAATGTTTCTTAGTTCTTCTGCTATGAAACACAGATTGGTCCCAGTCATGCCTGAACCTGCCTGTTATGAAAGGTTGCATCTCTTGGGGATAATGACAAATCCACAGGGAAGATGTGTACTCGCATGGATGGTTGAAAAGGGCGAAGTAAACTGATCAAGTCTGGCATATATGAAGGCACAGGGATTTGAAGAATAATATAAAGAATGATAACAATAGTTTTCAAAACAAGGACGAAACCCCAGGGGTTGAAACAGCTGAAATTCTCCAGTTACAATAGGTTGCAGCGTATTGTACTCCAACCTACTTTTTTTTTTTTTTTTTTTTTTTTAATGTGGCTTCTGCATTCCTCCCTCCTTTAATCTATTCAAAATCCAGCTGTCATAAGCATCCTACTGCTTTTGCTGCTTCACACATTTCTTTGAATCACACTTTTGTTTGTGTTGCCCAAGTGGGAAGCGAAGGAGAGAGTGGGAGAGAAGCATCAAAACAAGGGTATCGAGTAGTGAAAGATGGAGCATTCAGGAATAACTCCTAAAGGCATTTAATTAAAAAAGAAAATAAAAGCTTTCAGTCATTGAACCGGGCAATGTAATTAATTGTAGGGACTTAGAATCACTGCTGGTTTATCTTTCTCATTTTTCCTATTATTTTTGATAATCCTATTGATTTTTGATTACATTCTTAGGAGACCGATGCGTGCTTGTGCGTTTGGCTGAACACTGCTGTCCTGCCTTGTTTCTGATTAGGCCTTTCAGTGTGTGCTGTAAACCAAATTCAGTAAGTGAGGATAAAAACCAAAAAAAGACTAGATTATCAAAGTATTTTGGTGAAAAGTACAGTTACTGCCCATTTGGCATCTCACTACTCTTTGTAACCACTTACATAGCAGTCAATCTCACTTTTAGTGTAGTTGAGACTGTCAGTGCTTTTTTGGTTCTGTTGCAAGACGATCAAAATTATAGTCTCTGTTTTTATTCTGACACTAATTGCCTAAAGCTGACCAATAATAATTAAAAGTGACAAACGTAGGGGTTTTTTTTGCTCTATCGCCAGTGATTTGCAGCTTTGTCACAGAATGGGAGATGCAATTGCTGAAAATTAAGGGAAGTCACTTTTTACAGTACCCAACACCTACCATATGCTTATTTCAAACCTTCTGACTTTCCTTCCATTAGGCACCAAAGGAAACCCAAAGAAAAGCCATACAAAAGGTTTTATCCCTTTAAGTGTTAGATGTCTAAATTTTAAGAGCACAGTGCTCACTGACAATTCAGTTATAGCTGCACCTCCATAGCAACACTTCTACCACATTTTACAGTTGTATATGAATGAGTGTTATTATTTTAAGTCACAGTATTTTTTCACATCTGTCAACTGTTTGTTACTGTCTGTGAAAGGCATAAGACTGCAAGGATCTTGGAATTTAAATAGTGAAATAAGAGGTGTGACCCGTCCATAATGGGATAAGTGGGTGGAAAGCAGAGGCTACAGGTTACAGAAGAGGGAACCAAAAGAGAGTTCACATTGTCTATGTGTATGTGTGTGTGCCTTAACTACACATAGGTGTCCTAAAAAAATTACAAAATCCAGTCCAAAAAGCAAACCAGCCAATTAACAAGTATTGCAGAAAGCTTTAGAAACAACAACAAGATTTTCTGTTCTGTACCAAATAAATTATCAAGCCTCTTGTAAGTCTGCCTAATTATAACTTTCCTCACTCTTTTATAACTCAGTCTTTTGTTTTGTGTCCTGTCTTGTTTTTCAGACCACAGGAATGGTCTGCAGCTTGCCCTTGGTTTTCCATGTGTTTGAGGATAGAATGAGATTTGACTTGGGTGGTGACCTGGAAACATTTTTGGAAACATTTGCCAGTAATAACTGTACTCATAGCTTGTTTGTTTTTCTAAAGAAAGTATGTAGTGCACTAGATGGTCATTTTTAAGGATCAGTTTGAGAAAACATGTAGCTAAAGAGACATAAATAAATAAATACTGACTATATGTTTTCCTATCTGAGAATAAATGGATTATTCCACAATCCACTGACATGCAGTTTATCTTTTGTTCTTTTTTTAAAGTCTCTCTGTGTTTGATTTCCTTGTACATGGGCTAAAGGATTATTTTTGTGAATGAGTGATTATTCCTCTCTCATTGATGTAAATGCAATGGCAGTTTTCATAAGATGTGCTGTATTTAGTGGATTCCAATATAGTTGTTCCTCTTTTCCTCATGTTAGAGAAAATGCAGAATGTATTACAACTTCAAGGACACATTTTGAGAGTAAATGCAGACGTTTTTGTGAAATGCTAAGGACCACAATTCGTTTCATGCAGTTTTGTTCCTTAGGAGCTATAATTTAAACCAAAATTTGGATCCAAGTATTATCAGGTTCCCTCGTTAGATTTATATAGTAAAATTTTCCATCACAGTTTCTAAAAGAGGAGTCCTACGTATTTTTTTAAGTTACGAGCATCTGATGTGTTTTGGTATAGATATTTTTTTTTTTTTTAATCTGAATTAAAGTCTTTGCATTTCAAAGAAGCATCATATAGCCTGTTAAAACCAAGCAAATTACTTGACCCAATATTGTTATCATATGTTCTTTTACCAAAGGACATTTAATATCAAAGGTGAGTAGTGGCAAATGCAGCTAAACTAGACAACCCATAAGACAAAGGAAAAATAGAATAGTAGGAAATATTTGCGAAGTTCACATGTTTTTTAAATAGAAGATTGACCACAACACAGACTGCCTGCAGGAACTGTGATAAATTCCAAAAAGAAAGCCTGGAAAAAGCTGCTCATTAGAAACTTTAAGATCAGTATTATATAGGGACATTAATTCATTGAAAAGCATTCCAGTCTGTCAAAATTAGCAGTTTCACCACTGAAAATCTTGATTTTTTTCATCAGTCTGTAAAGTTAAACATTTTGCCACCTCCTACTTGTGGCTAGGGACTGGAACCTGTGTTTTTGGTGTGGTTTTTATGGCTTTAGGTAGTCTTCAACTGTGGAAGTGCAAACAACTTTGGAAGAAGTGGAAGAGAGATAAGAAACCCTGAATGAGCTATCTGATTTTTGCATTAAATCTGCACGAGTAACACAGTGATGGTGAAATTAGATAAGAAAATCAAGATCATCAAAACATACCATGAAGTATTACCTGCTCCCAACAGTAAGACTTGCTTCACTTCAGCAGCTATGTCTGAAAGAAAACA